ACCTTACAACGTAAATTCAAACACACGAAAACGTTTACAATTTGAATCTAGAGAAATCTAAAGAAAGCATACTTTGGAGAGCTATCAATTACATTGCGAGGCGTGATAAATGGTTTTTATCTGTATAAACTTTATCAATATGAAACTAGAACTGGACTGCGTCCGCAGCTTATCAGCCACCTACGCTTTCCACTGCATTATACGACTTAAACACATACATACATTCATCGTAGACGTACAAGTAGCCTGCGATAATATACTTTTCATTATTACTCACAATAGAATGGTATAACAAAGTTATATTTATAGTATAATTAGCTTGGAGTATTTATATTTGTTTTATAATAATGAATTTCCTCTGTTTCAGTGTTTGTACAGAGATAAAGGATATTATTAGAATCGTTGTTGAGGTCAATACAACGCGATCCAGTTTCCAATGCCTCTGTTATATTCATTATTGCAACTCTATTATTGGATTAATGAACCTTAGTTGTATTATTGGCATGAGAGACGTTTGATAACGGACATTACGCTATTGTGGGCCGTTGAGGCTATTCTTAAAACGCATCACAATAGGAACGTCTGTTTAAAATGTTTATGTTAGTTATGATCACATAATTAATTGTTAAAGGACAAAATATAATTACCTATAATTGTTTTAAAAATATTGATGCGTAACTCGGGTATATTGACTGATAATGGATTTACACTATCAGTTAACGAAATGATATATAAATTTATTGGAATTTAACACAATCGTGATTATTGTGATTGGATGGTTTAACACCGTCTTGTTATATTAGTTATGTATATTGATATGTTGTTTGTACATGCAAAATGTTTAACGACTCCAGACAGTTATTAAACTGTGAGCTATAACTGTTTGTCTCTTTAAAATTATACCATTTCAAAATTATATACCTATCTTGATTCTGTACTTACAAAGCTGTTCGTCATGATGAGGTAATGGTGTGGTTCTTAAAAGTTTTGGAATGCATAGATAATACGAACATTGTCGAGGTGATTAAGAAAGAGGAAATTAGGACCTTGTATGTTGAACTTCATTTCAAATACCTACAGTATAGTGAAAATACATACAAATTAATTAAAAAAACGTAAATTTTTGTTAACACGATTCATATATACAAGGTAACTGGTGAATTACTATCGATACTTGAGGACGTGATATTTGACGTATATTTAAACATTGGCCATTCTATTCTCCAAAAATTATAAGAAAGAGTAATGTGTGATCAAAACAAAAACGTCAAATTTGTATAAATCTTTTGACTGTTTCAACAAAGGAGACACGGAACAAATCTTTGAACAAGTTAATGACAATGTAAGTTACTTATTTAATGTATTAAAACACGGAGACTAAAATTTTGAGTCATTTCGGTTGAGCCGTAACAATGCTAGAATGGACGGTGTTAAATAAAATATGTTTTAGATGTTAAAACGTAAAAAAGTTTATAAATGGTCATTCGTTACTACTAGAAAACAAAATTGACTACATGATATTCCGTGGATTAATAAATATTTAATAAAGAAAAACTAGTGTCAAATTACATTCCGCATTCAGATGATATAGATCACTTGTAATTAATTAATTCTAACTTAACACCAGTATTACTATAATAAGTCAAGATAAAGACTAATATTAGGCGATATTTAATTTCTGATATCAAAAATATTTGAGGGATACACAATTAGGCCAGTGCAGACGCCTCTAAAAATGATGAAAAGTGAAAATAAATTATAGTAGAATGAAACCCATTAGAAAAGGAGGGGAATATTATAAAAATTAAGGGAAAAATAATTTACGGGCAATCCGAGGTCGGGAAGGGTACGGGCGTGGGCATTTAAGGGTAAAAATTGGGTTTTCTCGATTTCCGGAAAAACTAAGAGTCCTAATGAAAAATGTTATATGGCAAAGTTGTAGGTAATAAAAAGATCTAAAACTTTTGTACTAACATTTTTTTCACATAACCTCAAATTTTATGTGAAAAATTCGAAAAACCAAGTTTTTGATTTTTTTTTCTCTTACAAAAAACAATTTTTTGTCACGAAATTTTGTGCAAACTTTTCTTTTGATATCCCAAATACACTGGAATTTATTTGATTAGAAATATTTATTTGTTCAGCTTATTTTGAATAAATATCAAAAAATCAGCATCATTTTCAATCGAAAAATCACCCGTCAAAATATTAGCGTTTTTCAAAATTGTTGTGTGTTTTCGGTTCGTTGAAATCTCTATTTTCCGATGGTGAAGAAATAAATATAAGTTTCTTACTTACAATACCATTTTTAGATAAAATAATCATGTCTCTTTTAACGAAATGACACTCGACATCGGTTTGAAAATGCTCTTTCTAATTTATTTTTAATAGTTGTGTACTCTGGAAGTTCTCCAGATAGTCCCTCTTTTAGGCAATTTACAGAAATTTGACATTAAGCTGCTAAAACTACAGTGTATTTGGGATATCAAAAGGAAAGTTTTCACAATATTTCGTGACAAAATATTGTTTTTTGTAAGAGATAAAAATCAAAAACTTGGTTTTTCGAATTTTTCACATAAAATTTGAGGTTATGTGAAAAAAATGTTAGTACAAAAGTTTTAGATCTTTTTATTACCTACAACTTTGCGACATAACATTTTTCATTAGGACTCTTAGTTTTTCCGGAAATCGAGAAAACCCATTTTTTACCCTTAAATACCCACGCCCGTACCCTTCCCGACCTCAGATTGCCCGTAAATTATTTTTCCCTTAATTTTTATAATATTCCCCTCCTTTTCTAATGGGTTTCATTCTACTATAATTTAATTAAATTTTAAAAGCTATCGGCACTGGTCTAAATACGTTTTTATAACTACGCCACAATGCATACATACGTCAAGTTTATTAACATATTTAGATAAACTGATTGTACGCAAAAAACCTAATAAACACCAAACAGTCATCATTATAGAAGAATAAAGCCGAATATTCTATACGTAATTGTTAACTTAATGCTCCAATAAATTCATCTGGCTCTGACTTTTGAAATGTAACTTTCGCTTTAACAAAAAAAAAAACTGTACGTCTATTTGGGAACACGCCTGTCTAGCAAACACAATCCGTGACAAAAAGTTTTGTATTGAATTCAAAATATAATTTGTATTTAGTGAGCGCTTTATTTGACAATACATTCAATAGAGCTCCGACGGCATTTTGTGCATCTACTTTCACCGATATAAGCACGCCAATAGATCGCATGAACCAGTAGAAACTATGTGCGGGGAATCATTAAATATTCTAGTAATTGAATGATGACAAATAAAAATAATGACAAGTGTCATTAAACGCCGACTATCGTATACATTAATGAGATTAACACGCACTTAAACGTTTATAATTAAGGAAAATATAAAAATATTATAATTTTTTATTTCCGTTTAAGTATTGAATGAAATGTTTTAAAAACCAAGACAATGTTTCCACAAAAGACGATAGTGCCATTTAATTTTTTGCATCAATGCTCGACTCATACGTTACGCGTTATTACAATGATTCCATGAACGGTTAAGTTCAAAAACACGTTTAGACAATAGGCTATTGGAAAAAGTCGAGGAATTTTTCATATAGCTATATATTTACACCAATTACAACGATTCAAATGACCACAATTCTAGCGAAGGAACGCAAAATTATATTAATATAAAAAAAATACAATTTGGATATCTATAAGAGAATCTTGAACTTGTTACTCGGTAAGATAAAGTGTTGCATGAATCGATAATCATAATCGAAGTGGCGATATCACGTTTCGCGTCCTTCCTATCTCTACTCGATTACCGTCGACGGTAACGCTGAGCCGGCGCCAGCTGAGACTCCTTTCCATTGTGATTCCGTGCTGGGAATACTCGCTAAATCATTAACATGACAAACATACACCCAGGCGTTATACATATAATAATATGAACAGCGTTAGAACCGACGTAAATCTAAAGTTTGAAAGTTAATTTTGAACGTGCGAGGAGTATAATCGAAACTTGGTATCTTCGAATGAGTTTTTTACTCGATGATTCGGATGCGTCGCTTGTGAGTCACCGCGGCCGGCATACCGTTGGGAACCATGCACCGTGTCAGCTACCTATTTATGTCGCAGGACGAAGCGCAAATAAACAGCATCAAAGGGAATCTGGATTCCGTTTGCCGGTCCGACCAGCAAGCAACTAAACTAAAACAACAACCATTGTCTACAGATGAGTTATTTTCGCAAATAGATAGGTTTTGTTACAGCTTAAGCTGTTGCTATGCTGGAACCTAGCTCTAGCGTGCAGCAACCGTGTAGAAGTTTTAAAATGGATGCGTCAGATGGCTCAGTCATAAGTATACTTGAAAAGGAGAGTTACACTTTTCACTCTATGGAAATCATGATTGATTGGTCTCTAGATAGATTTAAAAAATCTCAAATAAAAAAATCATATACCTAATCCATAAAAAAAAATTATGAAATGTAAAAAGACTCACTGTCAAACCCTATGATGAAATATACTTCAATGATCTTATTTTATAAGCAATGAAACATTTATTCTATGATTTTTTTTTTACCAACCTACTTAATATATAAATTGTAAATATTACAATAATACAAGTAATACATTATACAACTTAATATATAAATTGTAAGTATTAAATTTATACAAGTAAAACAATTTAAAATTTCATCAATTTTATGAAAAAGGATTAATTTCAAAAAGTCTATACCCTGTTGTATACTAAATAAAAATAATTAAATACAATATATGTTGTAAATATTTCCATTTTATAAGTAAAGATAGTTGTTGCAATGTGTTTGTATAGTAGAGAAAATGTAAGAAAAAATAATAAATATTGAGAAACAGTGATATCTTATCAGTGTGAGTCTATAATATGGTATTAATTGATTTATTTATCAACATTTTACTAGATATCTCCATAAGGTACTAGGCAGAGAATGTTCACAAAAGGCTTACCTTTCATCATCCGGTTGCACAGCTGGTTGCTGGTCCTCTTTACCGTCCCCGGTGTCGCCAGCCTGCATTCCGTCCGGAACTGTTTCTGGTGCACTGCTATCACAATTCACATTCACATTGCTCACAACCGAGCCACTAATGGCGTGAGACACCACCGCACTCACTGGGCTGCCGAAACCCTGACTGTCATGTCCCGGCTGGGGAGCGTTAGACACGTACGCGGTGGAACTCACTGGCATCGACACTATCGGCGAGTTAGTCCCCGAAACGGTCGCCTCGACTGGCGCCACGCTAGTCTGTGACATTACTGGCACCACACCCCCATAACCCAGACCCATGCTCGTCTGAGATTGCACTACACTCGCATGAACTCCTCCGCCCATTCCCACCGGCATGCTCTGCTGCATAGACATCGGAATGTTCTGGTGTGCCATGGACACTTGAGGCACTGTCTGATTAGGAACATATTGCACACCACCCATCTGTGTTGTATGCTGGCCGCTGACCTGTTGCTGCAGCATGGTTTGCGGTTGGGTCATATGTGTTGGCATCTGTTGTCCGACATTGGGTGGTTGCATATAAATTGGATCGGAGGCCGGCATCTGCATGCCTGCCTGATTTCCATCTAAAGTCATCTGCATATTCTGTGGTGCAGCGCTCATAATCTGTATATTTCCTTGTGGTACATTAGTCTGCTGCGGGGCCATAGTGTGAACGGGAGCCTGCTGTTGCCCAGTTAGACTTTGGAGATTAGCTGGTAAGGTCGATCCTTGTGGCTGCGAGGCCATCGGTTGCAAATTAGAAGGAAGAGTTGCACCTTGCTGTGATGTTACAATACTAGTCAGCACCTCTTGTGGCAATGTCTGGCCCTGCTGTGACATCTGAGATTGTTGTGTATGGTATTGAGGAACATTGTGTTGTGTTTGAACCATAGGTTGCTGTGATGATGGAAGACTGCCACTAATCATTGACTGGGCATTACTCTGCTGGTTGACCGCTTGGTTGTATTGTGGTTGCGGTACAGCCATTCCTTGCTGCTGCATTTGTGGATGCATTCCTGGTACCACAGATTGTTGGGGCTGTGATGGAAGTTGATGCATTTGGGTTTGCATTTGTGATATTTGTTGATTAGTTGCAGCTAGCTGGGTTGGTAGTTGCATTTGCTGTATATGGTTTGGCATCTGTTGATTCTGCAGTGCTTGAATTTGTGCCTGACTAGACAAGTGCTGCAGCTGAGCTTGCTGAGGTCCCATGGCTTGTTGACCTTGAAGATGGTGTCCCTGACCCATATTAGGCATCTGGGCTTGTTGCATTTGATGAATTTGTTGTGGATTTGGTTGTCCCTGCATAGGTTGCATCTGCATTTGTTGTATTTGTGGCTGCTGGCCCGGAATTTGAGAGAGTTGCCCCTGATTAGACAGACCTTGCATTTGTGGTATCTGTTGCTGAATTTGCATATTAGTTATCTGAGCTTGAGGCAAATGTTGACCCATTTGTTGCATTTGTTGATTAGGAATTTGCTGCATTTGCTGCGGCATTTGTTGGTGCATAGGTATTTGTTGCATTGCCATACTTTGGGACTGTGCAATAACTTGCTGCAGTTGATGCTGTGGAAAACTTTGTGGAATCTGTTGAACCTGCTGCTGTTGAGTAGGCTGTTGATGGCTTTGTGGTGCATTCTGCATAGTGATATGTGTCATACTTTGAGGATGTTGTTGAGCCACTTGTTGGCTTGATTGCATATTCTGATTAATCATTTGTTGTGGCATCTCTAATGGTGGAGACTGTACAGAAACTGACTGAGTGACAGGCATCGGTTGCTGGGCCATATTAATGGGTTGAGTAAGTGATTGGCCAGGAGAAGCCATCGGAAATTGTTTCTGCACACATTGATCCATTTGTTGAATAGGAGCACTCACTTGATCATTGGGCACTTTATTTGCCAAATCATTACACATATCATCATGTTGACTATCATTTATAACAACTCCACTGTCGGGCGCTTGCAGAGCATTAGTTTCTGTGACATCCAAATTATTGTTCAAAGTGATTGGGGCGTTTTGTTGTGTAGTAGTGTGATCTAAATAGTCCATGCACATCCATCTGCCGCGGCGGAAGGGTTCAGTACTTTCAATTTTAACAACTTTAAACCTCTCGTTCCTGACATGTTCTTGGATCTCCTTCATGCCTTCTTGAGGCTTCGAATTGCCTATAAGATTGATGATGCTGCCTGTTCCGGCGTTCGTGACACTGACGTGCATGTCATTCACTTCCGTGTTATTACTATTTGGCACAGCTCCTCCTACTTGATTGGTGTTAGCGTCCTGACCGACGATCGCGAGTCCGTACTGCGAACTGGTCGGAATGACGGGCGCACAACCTAGCGATGCACTTGACGCGTTGTAGAAAACGTCGTCTTTCGAAAAGGTGTCTTCAGAGTAGCTCGGCGTTTCATTCTCTATGTCGGTCACCCTTGAGATGTCATCGGTGTGAGATTCGTCTAGATCGTCCGCGGAGTCCTCCCCTGCATCAGTGCTCACCCGAGACCCAACAGTCACACTCGTAATCTGAAAGGAAGATATTTTCCTTGGGTTATGGGCGGATTGAAGACTCGTCGGGTGAGTCACTCCCTTCTCAGACTCATTTAGTCGAAGAGATTCACTCGTAGTACGATGAACAACGTTGTTATACTTGTTTTTTTCGCTAGTTTTATGTGACTTTTGAATCAGATTGTCAGCCATTATGCCGTCCGACTCGAATGACTACCTAAAGAAAATTTCACTGTTTATTGGCCTCTGAGACATTTGATAGACTTTTAAATCACAAATACATAACTAGTATAAAACCATTATACACTCACAATTTCACAAACACGGTAATTTTGCTATTAAAGTTCTTAAAATTCATGAGTAAACACACACAGATGTGAACATCTTTCAGACGGCAGCAACATGGCGGCCATTTATGCGCAATGCATTATGTTTGACAATTTGCAGTAAGCTATAGACATCATAGACCTTCACTTGAGACGGGAAATGTGCTATCAACAGATGTCACTACCAGCATTTGAACAAAAGGATATATTATATTTTTCAATTTTAATTATAGAAATTTATAATGTAATTTTTAACATAAAATATATATTGTTTTATACATTAATATTTTCATCGATTATCCTAATTTTATATTAACATTTTAACTTAACATTAGATATTAAAAAAATTACAATACAGTATTTGAATTCAAAGTAAAATAAGATAGTGGTATCAGATTGAACATTAAAATATTTTGTTAATGAAAAAGTTAACTTTTTTTATTGTTTTTCATAGTCATTTTAATTTTAACTAAAACTTATGTATCCAGATTATTTTACGTCCACTCCAAATCTTATATTTTTAATCTGTCTTATAAAAAAAGTTATGCTATTCGATACTAGATGGCGTAAAAATGATTTGAATGACGTAACATCAATTATGTATATACGTTACTTTACGAATGCTTTTTTTTTATTTATTACATTTAACATTAAAAAATACATTTAACCTAATTACAATAAATAAAAATTAAAATATACTAAAATTAACATATAGACACACACATATACATTATCTAAATGTATATTTTAAATAAATTCTTTTTTATATTTAATTTGCGTTTATTATTCTCTTGTTTCAATATAACCTCTTAAAACAATTTATTAATAACGAAGCTGATCAGAGTATAATTTTTTACCTGTGACTTCAGTCCCCGTCTTATTTATTTTATAAAGTTACCCCTTTATATAAATTAATACATTGTTGGCAAGTATTGTAATCTTTAAATTTACGCATTAGAATTTGTAGAATTCGCAAATACTAAGGCGTATAATGCGACTATTGCGTATGTGGGAAGTTTAATTTAAATACGTCATATACATCACGTATTTAATTCCTTGGCAGGCATACGCTTTTATGAAGGTTAGTATTTGTTTATTCGGAAGTTTTTGGGAAATTACTCTGTCGATGATTTACAACAATAGGTCGAAATATGCAAAGAAACTGTTATTGATACTTAGAAATCTATGATTAAAAATAATTAAATATTGATAATATACCTAGTAAAAAATTACCAATATAAAATTGTAACTTACGATGTCGCTGGCGGTAAATTGCACACTATTTCGCGAACTACTTCGTAACGGGAACTAAGAGCCACCAGGAGCGCCCCGACCTCAGCTATTACCCGCAAGGTCTTAAGATCACCAGTCGATTTAGCCAGTATCCCCACCAATCGCCGTGACACTTCTTAAACGGAGATAATTTGCTATTATTTGTAAATTGTCGTCCCGTCCGCCGTGGCTTCGCAGTCGTTCGGGAGCTCGGGACCATCCTGGCTTCCAGCTGCCACAGAAAGTAATCCTTAAATAAATAGTCGTCATCTAAACCTCCGCCGCATAACACGGCGCCAGTCGATAAGATACAGCCCGCGGACAAACTCTAATTCTTTAATATTAAAATGTGAATGGGTCGCACACTAAAAATGGCTAAATCATTAGACGACATTTCAAAAAAATACAACGAAGACAACACATCTATGGAGGAAGATACTGAAGAGTCACCAGGATGTTGGCAACGGATGATCGTTTTCTTTCGGATCAATCCAAATCTGATTATGTTGAAAGTGACTTTATTTGTGATGTATGGAGCTACAGCATCCCTCTTGCCGTATTTGACGATTCATATGCAAAGTATAGGGCTCACTGTACCAGAAATTTCTTTTGTGTATCTAGCATTGCCATTCACAACATTTTTAAGTCCTCCTATAACAGGTAAGTTTACGAACCTAGGATTAAGTGTAAGATATTCATGTTCAAGTTCAATTATAGAGGGTTACCTACTTATTTAAAAATCTAATAATCTTTTTTAGATAACTATTTCATAGTACACAGTTTTGGTACCTAAATTAAAATGAGTTAGAAATTGTAGGAAGGAATCATGTTAGATTAGACTAATATTATCTTTTTAGGATTTCTTGTGGATCGTTTCGGAGAGTACAAACCGGTGGTAATCACAGCTCTGATCCTAAACGCAGCGTTCCATCACTCGCTCCTTCTCATCCCTCACCAGGAAACGCCAGGAGTAATGCCATCTGCTTACGTCATGCGACATCCTATAAAGCGGAGCGTTGAGGTATTTCATAGCACGTTAAATTGTTTCAAAATCATCTCTATAGGAATTGTTCCTCGTGGCTACAAACTTACCTCTTGTCCTCTAAGAATTTAAGCAAATCGACCTCATCCGGCCTCAGGACGGATTAACAAACTTGTCATATAGCGCTGCTCTTTGGGTTAGTTAAGAGAATAAACCTAAATTATTATGTTAACTGCATATGGATTCACATGTTTATCAGCGATGGAGACAGTCAATATATCAATTTGTACTTGAATAACGTTATTATCGTACAAGACAGATGTTTATTTGTTTTCTGACCGTATCATTTGTTAACATCAAATAATTGTTTAGTAGGAAAGTTATTGTTTACTTTAATCTACAATAGATATGGTGGAGCCCTTGCCCTAGTAGAGAGTGTCCGGATGAGGACGAACAAGTGGACTTTGTCCTTGACCGTTGTGACGATCACTGTATGCTGTCCGGACCCACTAAGAGCCCCACCAACGACCCCAGCGATGACCAAGACGATATTGACTTTCATATATCACACAAAATTAATCCACCAAATCTCTCCAACAGCAGGTACGAATGTAAATTTCTTTTGCGTCATATTACCTTACAGAAAATCCTATTAATAGTTCAGCAAATAGCAAAAAAACGTTTTTACAAACAGTTTCCATGATTGTTAAGCCTTCCTTAAACCTCGAATTTATGATATGATAACATCGATACGTGTGAGAAAGGAACAAAACTATATTTGACTATTATATCGCTATTAAGAATTAATAATACTCTAAGATATTTTTCAACAACTAACTTAAATACATTTTCCCCCCATTTAATTAATATACTGTACTCATAGTACTAGTAGATAAATGGTTATGCTATTTCAGTTTCTTGAATATAACTGACGATGACGAGGTTTATAATGACGCGGCATTTTTCCTGATTGAAGTACACGATGATTTGGGTGAACCTAAAGAACAACTTGGCATTGAAATGGAAAGGGTATGTTATATTTTCATATATGAATGGAACCATTTCCTAACAATATTATTTATTAATAATAATTAATTATTCATAACAATTATATTTACATGTCTATTCTGTTCCAGGACGACAATGATACAGTTACGGATTTCAGAACGAGGTTCGGTGAGAAACTTTTGATTGCCCACGGTGTAAATATTACAGCGCTAGATAAGGAAGATTTGAGATGCGGTGGTCTAGTTATGTTGCACAATATGACAAAACTGTCACAGCAGCGACTAGAAACTTTATCGGCAGACTGCATGGTTCAAAAATGTGATTTTAGGTACCTTTTAATCTCTAGCTAGAAACTAACTTGTGTTTAATTATCAAACAATGTAAATGAGATATAATTTTCAGAAAAGGAGGTCCAGAAATATGTCCACCAGACTACAAGGAAAGCGATGATAAAACATTTTACATTTACTTCTTTTTACGCTTTATGGGCACCATAATGTTATCCGCAGGCGTAACTATTATGGATCCCATAGCTCTAACCATGATACAAAAATACGGTGGTGATTTCGGACGAGAAAGACTATTCTCTAGTATTGGAATGGCAATATTTTCACCTATCACAGGCATGCTTATAGATATGAGGAGCAAACAAGTCGGTGAGTAGCATTTTGTCATCGTTATCTCAATTGACATTGACGACGTTATTAATGTTTGCATCGTTCTGTCTCAGGGTACACAGATTACTCGGCCGCTTTCTACACATACGATGTCTTGCTCCTCATATCGGCCATCACCGTGGCCGTGATGCCTCTAGGAGCTAAACTCCCAGCCGACAATCTCTTACACGACCTCGTCAACATTATAAAGATGCCGCATATTATAATATTTATATTCTTCTTATTCTTACTAGGAAATTTTTGGGGTTTCATCGAATCGTATCTGTTCTTGTATTTGAAGGAACTAGGAGCTCCGAACTTTTTGCTCGGTAAGCTATACTAACGCATAGTGTAAAAAACAAAAGAATTGAACGTGTTTATAAATTGTATCATTGAAAAAATATTCCATAGAAAATTCTTCTCTATATTAATATTTGATGATATTTATCGTTTGATATAAATACAAACATACATCAAACCTTTGATCTCAACTAAGACTAAAGTAAGCGGTCACTTTTTTACAACGAAAGATTTCGTAAAAAGAGAAGGATATTTCATAATCGTAAAGACAGAACATTTCTGTATATATTTAATAAACATGTGTGTCTGTATGTTCGTTCAGGTATTACAGTAACAGTGGGAACTCTGAGCAGTATACCGTTCTTATACGGTGCGGAGGCGATCACATCTCGTATAGGACACGTGAACGTCATCATCATCGCATTCTTCTCACACGCCGCTCGCCTCGTCGGATATTCATTCATTGAGTGAGTTAATTATTAAAATATCAAATAAATAATCTACAAATATCCAAATATTTAGCAGGAATCGATAGCTTATTATTTTGAAAGAATTATTCAAAGATTCAAAATTTATGATGACGAATGACTTATCGTAACTTAGGGAAAAAAATTGAGGGTAAAAAAGTCTGAAATGCAAAAGAAGTCAACCAAAACAGTTACTATTAACGTCAAATTATTAGCCTATGTGCAATTTAATGTATGATATGTATGTGATAAGACCAATAACATGTTTATATGTCCCGTTGACGTAACTAGGAACATTTACTGTTTTACACTGTTGGTTACATTTAGTTGTGAATGATCAAATAGTCGGTGACATAACAATAGGCTGTTTATCTGATAACGGCAACTATCTTATTTATTATATGCCATTGATGACTAATTATAACTTAGAAGTTATTTGTGTTGCAAATAACACTAACAGCTTCATAACACAAATAGCTCGTGATAAAAGGCCACGTTTAGATTATCACAGGTCTCAGTATGTTTAATACTTAAGAATTCCGTCTGATGCACTTAATTTTGTCCTTTTTCATTTAAATCCCATTTGCCAGGGTAATGTAGTGATGACGATAAGACATTGTCAAGTTTATGAGCACAGAGTTCTTGTGTAGGCGTAACAGCCATTTACTGTGTGCTAACAATAAAATGAGAGGACCATCTATTACGAACATTTTCACATCATATCTGTAAATGACTTGCTTTATATCCATATTGTTTGCCTTTAATCTTGTTGTTATAACCTTTTCTATTAAATGCTAAGTTTTAAGTCTTATAAAATAATGATACGTTAACCTGAGCGTGTTAGGTAAAAAAAAATTAATCAAGTACATCTGACCCGTCGTCAACTAGGTATTTAAAACTTTTTGAAATATATATCAGAATTTTTTATTTACAACTTCAAATCACACCGTTATTGTCTATCATCATATTAGTCTATGATTTTATATTTGTAATTTTCTTTATTACGTTCTACATAGTTCATACGCACATCGTTCATAAAAAACAGATGTTATAAATATTTAAATCTTAATATGTGTATGTTTTATCCATGGCAAAAACTTTTACTTGAATATTTATGATTCAGATATATGTTTTGTTCCAACGAAACATTGGTGAAATACTTTACGCTCGTACTGCGCTCAGTTTGTATATACAAAGGGTATAAATTAAAGAATTAAACCGTTTGCTGCTGTGTAGGGATTCCTGGTGGTGTTTTCCCTTCGAAGCCATGGAATCACTATCCGTTCACCTAATGTGGGTAGCTGCTGCGACATACTGTGCTATGTTGGCACCCAAGAGTTTACTGGCTACTCTCATCGGTGTACTGGGAATGGCCCATTTCAGTCTTGGTCAGTAAAATTACTGTTACACTATCTTATTACTGTAGATCTGTGTTTTTGTTGATTTTGTATGAACCTATTAGTTCTTGTTATATTGGTTATTATGGCTTGGTTACCTTATCAAAACGTTCTCACCTACTTCATTGTATAATAATAGGTCGTGGCAGCGGCAGTTTCGGTGGCGGGCTCTTGATAGCCTCTCTCGGTACACGGGAGGCCTTTCGTTATATGGGACTGATCGCCTTCCTTGGAGGAGTAACCTATGGTCTTCTACACTACTTCTGGTTGAGGAAGATCAATATGAAGGGCATCCATATATCTTCTGAACCGGATACAGGTGAATAGATGATAGAATGAAACTTTCACTGTAGAATTAAATTATCTTTGTTACAATTATATTATTGAGGAATTGTTGAACATTTTATATAACATATATACATATAATTCAAATTAACTGGCACACAATATTCTATTTATATTTCTATTAAAGTGTGTGTTTGAGCTCGTTTAATTTTTATGTTATAATTGATACAGAGAGTGGTGAAGGTGACAAGTTAACGTCGAGTCCATTGCGCAAGGACGCCGGCACCATGGTGTCTTTGGAGAGACTTCATATCATCACACGGTTCAATCCACTCGGGTCCTTACACTCGTTGTCAAGGGCGGATAGACCCAGGGTAAGATTAACTACTCAGAACCTACTATATAGTCATAATATTACTACATATGTTAAAAAAAATAAAACTACCTTGACTTGTTTGCCATTAATTTTAGAAATAAGAAAAAGCAACAAAAAAAATTATAAAATAAATGTATCATAATCACTTCTAATACATTTTTACTAACAAAAATTGACTCATACCAAAAACAATAACAAGTTTTCATGCTATTTATAGATTTTATTATAGTCTAGTCCAACGCCTGTGCAAAAATTACACGCAAAGTAAATAAAAACACAATAAAATAATATAACGGCAAGGTATAACATTAATCACTGGTTAATGCATTCCCAAAGAGAGTTGACGTCAGGCAGGCGGCCGGTCGTAAAAACAATTAGCCAAAACTATTCACAACATGTAAGGCAGACCCTGGCTATAGCTGGGAAATTGCTCGGTAGAAGAAGAAGAAGTACAGCAAGGTATAACATTTATTTTTGTGCCGCAGCTGTCTCAGGGTGACATCAACGAGCTGTGCCGCAGTCGCAGCGGCAGCAGTAGCCAGAGACGTTGCAGCAACATTGAGATTTCTCCCAAAACCAACAAAGTAGACCTCCTACGAGCCGCTCTCGATGTAGCAGCTAATCGACGAATCATCTCTAATCCGGTGCTGTCCAGCCAGAATAGACCCACGAACCACTACAAGGTACAAGCTACCACAGACCTTGTGATCTAATGCAGATTGTAAAACCTTAAGTTCACATCTTGGTTCAATGGTAGGGAATAGACATCTACATATTGAAGGTTTTTTAAGATTCTCATTGTCTGCTGAAACACTAAAACAAGAATCGTAAATTATTGCATAAAACCATTATCAATTTGCAGTTGGTTTTTACGTTTTAATTTGTTAAACGTTAAGAAATGAATTAAAACGTCATTTGTTTTAATTAAAAGAAAAATATTTGTCTTGAAATAAATACATGAACAATATTTAAAATATATATTTTAAGTATTTGCAAATAATTGAATATTATATTCATCTCTGAACAAATAGTACGTAAAACCTTGATTACTACATATAACCATGTGAGCAGCCGTCATAGGAGTGCTTTTGATAACTTTATCTTGAGACTGGGCTTACTGTGAGAATTATAATATTGATTAAAATATAATTTATAAGAACGTTAAAACAATACTTAGATTGTAACACTCAAGCAGCTTAATTAATTTTGATTGGACAGAATGAAAGGAGTCTTAGATATTCCTAGAACAGCAGTTTTATTTGGTAATCTTCTTGAAGAAGATTTAATTTATTAGTTTTAATGGCTATTTCGTATTTTTTTCTCCAGTTAGCAAACAGCGCGCCAAAACTGACTCAAAGAAACAACATCTCTCAGCCGGTGCTGTCAGAATACGATCGTCGTCGTGACTCCATACCAGAAGAAGCTGAAGAAGACCGTCTCGCTCCCACACCAAAGATCGCTGTTAAGACGAAAAGTGACAACCTACCGCCGACGTATGATGAAGCTACTCAAGAGAAACGGAAAAGTTGGCACTCGGACGACAGTTCGCCTACTTAAATATTCCATAAATCATGTTCTAGTTTTAGTAGGCGCTAACATATTATGTTTTTCTATTTGTAAGTTCGAAGCGATTAACTGTCTGAATGTTAAATTATATTGATAGATTATGAAGTTAATTTCTTACATTTTATTTATAGGCTTAGCTTGCACTTGATGCTATTTGTATCAGTTTTCCTATATCCAGAACAAAGAAACGTAATTTTTATAGAATTTATATTCCATACTACCTTTATTTTTAATTGTGTTTTTCGGTTTTATATGGATTGTAAATAAAAGCCTGTTTTATCTCGTAACTTCGTTTTAAAATGTACATGCGTACGTTATAAAATAAATAAACTTTTTTTATTATTATTGAAATACCGAATGATTTAAAATAAACCAGTTTTCACCTATACTTATCTTTGTTTAATTTTTAATCAAATATATTTATCCACCTACACTCACGTATAATGTGTGTTGATATAACTTATAAGTAAAAAAAAAACATAATTTATTTGAGTAGATTTTTGTAGAAAACTAGTAACATATGTATGAGTCAAAACCGTCTGATTTGAAAACGTTAAAAATATTTTGATCTATAAGTAGGCATTAATGATCTTGCTTCCACCAAATAACTCATTTTATCTCTCTTTATGTTCTTTATACGATAAACACGAAAGTTTTGCGACTGTTAGTCATTTGTTTTTCTAAATTACATATAGGTACATCCAAATGATTTTAAGAACAATTATGTATAATAATATTTTCTACAGTTAAGTCCGTAACTTAGAAATTAGAATATTATGTTCATAAATTATTATAATCAATTCTAATCACAAAACTAAAAACTATTTTTTGTTTTCCAGATAATATTATTTTATCTCAACACTTGTATCAATGTTTGACGACATTAAAACGGTATCTACATTTTTAATGACTACCTCTAAAACGTTTATTCAACGTCTTATCATAAGCCTGTTCATAACAAAACGGTAGCCATTTAATATGTTTGTTTGTGTTAAAAGGAAATACTATTGAATTTAATTTATACACACGTATTTAATTTATATTATATCCTTTTTTAAGAATCTTCAGAGCAGTTCGTTTGATCCGTCCTCATGAAGTAGGACCTATTAATGTTGTTTTTGTCAGCCGCGGAGTAAGCTTCGTCGAGAACTGATGCCGAAGGTTTCCTTTGTCTAGTCAGGATCCAAGCATTTCCTAGAATAAAAAAAAACTTTGAACAACTTCTTAATACAAACATACTTTGAATATTACTTAAATCTTATTTATGTATCCTAAGGCTTGTGAACTTTTGTCGTGAAATGTAACGTAAAGTTTCATAGTTTGTATTGATGATTTAAAACGATTAATCAAACGTTATATTTAATATTTTTAATATTTATTAATTAACGAAAGGAACTGTAAAAAAGTATTGATGAATTGTAACAGTGATAGCTATTTCTCTGTTTTTAGAATTAATTACTTCCTACCGGACTTGCTTTGTTCTTTCACGTCAAAGATATTATTTCAAACATACCCAGGTAATGCATATATTTCATGAATACCGACAATAGACTTCGAATTCAACTAATAAACGCAAATATAATAGAAGGTTACTTTATAATTATGTGACCTCTAGAAACATTTACCGATATTTAAGTTGTTTGATCTGTCGGAACAACTGACAGACAGTCAAACAACTGTTAGTTATTTTAAATAACTTAGCAAGCAATAGTTTAATAATTAATATTATGAGGTAAAGTTTTCTAGATTTTAATGAATAGAGATTAGAGAACCTTTCATGAAAACATAAGAAATATAAATGAAACGACTAAGCTATCAAATTATATGAAGTTACCAGGAAAAATAGGTTCAATTTTATTCCTACTATTATAATATTTTTTTATCGTCTTTTGATCTTGCTTGAGTATGTGGCTATACAATATGCATTTTTTATACTCACAGAAGAAAAGGATACACAGCTGTACAGCAAAATATCTTAGCCCTACTAATATTATAAATGCGAAAGTAACTCTGTCTGTCTGTTACACTTTCAGGCCTAAACCACTGAACTGATTTTAATGAAATTTGGTACAGAGATAGAGTTGACCTTGAGAAAGAACAAAGGATAGTTTTTATCGAAGATTTTTGAAAAGTTCCCTTCTAAACGCGATATAACCGAACTCGACGCGGGCGAAACTGCGGGCGGAAAGCTTTATATACGTATACGCTTTATATACATATATAAAGCGTATAAATTTAATTGAAATGTATAACACACATAGAGTTCCATAGTTAACTTGGTACGTACTTGTATGAAATATTCCAAAGTCGTAGCAGCTCCATATAAGAGCGTATGAGTCGTAGTCTGTGCTCACGATCCAGTAGGGGGCGGCCATGTTGACTGGTAGAGAGGAGAAGGTTACTGACAGCTTAGCTGGTTCCGAACTACTCACTTGAACAGCTTCACCCGTTATAGATTTCTTCGTTCCGGTCCTGTAATACATTTATTTCTTAATTAGAAAGAAAGAATAAGAAGTTCTCTTCTTCTTAAGTTAGTGGCAGTTTTTATACATTTAGCCAATGTAATGTAAATAAGTCTTTATAGGAATAAAATTTGGAATATCTGAATTTATGGTAATTACTTAACAAAAATGAAATAATTGAATTATATTAAAATAGTTTTGATTTAAAATTTAGTACGCAACTGTTAGCAAGCAAAGAATTGTCGGTTAAGGTTTCCGTTTAATGTTCTATAGATTGGTGTAAAGTTCAGAAAATAAGAACTGTCGCAACAAGATAATATATTATACATTTGTATATATGTACATACATGGTTTTGTAAAGTAGTTTCGAGCCCAATACATTTTCCATACAAATTGAAAACTATGAAATCATTTCGTCAAAGTCACATCACGAAGTAATTTTTACCTAGCCAATTAATATTTAGATGTAAAAGATAAATAAAAATGCTATCATTTTTAATTGATTATCACTAATATAAAAAAAAATCTTTGTTATTCCTCTGTTTTCATATTCGTTCGGGCAAACTTTAGAATGGGTTATTGGATTTTATTCTTACAGAAATTTGTAACTAGGCAAATGTTATATAACATGTATGTCCATAAAAAGACGAATCTAAAACTTCAACTCACGTCTATAACGCTAAGATTTTGTAATTAACATAATCTACTGACAACATATCTCCTTTTCATTATTTAAAAAAATCAAAGGTCTAGAATGAACGACAAATGAACACATATAGATTATTAACAATTAAGATGTCGTGTTAAAGCACCTTATTTTCCATTCTATATTACTTTAAATATTAGCACTACATTGGTTTAATGTTAAAAACATTATAATATGGTTTTGTTTATAATCATCAGGCATAGAAAATATACACTATATAATTACAACGACAATAAAGTGTATAATTTGAAATAAAATAGCAACATCACCTTGTTGTCTATCTAAAACAAATCAGCAGTAAATACATACCATATTCTTATAGAATATCAAACTTACAATACGTTGAATTGCTCGTTGACAACACTGATAGCGCCGTTATCCTTCAGCTTATAATTGGCGGTGATGCAGGTACCACCAAGCTCAAATACTGCGAAGTACTTTTCAGCTTCGTACCATTTCCCCAAATACTGAAAGGCATTGTAATCATGTTAGGGGCCATTCAAGTATTACGTTAGCAGATTTATTACAATTATTCACCCCCCCCCCATCCCCCTTGTCAGTTGTCAGCAAAAGTAAGCAAAGCTCTTACCCCCTCCCCCCATGCTTACGTAAACATTTTCAATTACTGTATGGTTTTTTTAAATATATAAATCCAGAAAAAAAAAATTATATTTTTTATGGATCTTCTCGATGTGACGATTAAAAAGTAAATAACTACCGATGACGTTATCATCACCTAGACTCCCCTACCCCCTAAGTCATCCAAAATAAGCAAACCAAAGACCCCCCTGCCCCTCCATAGTGCTTACGTAATACTTGAAGGCCCCATATCCTAGAAAAAACTATGACATAAACAATAAAGAATATACAATTATTGTGGAATATTGACAGGCATAATGGAAATTGTTCTTCAGAAAATTGTGAAAAACAGAAAAAATATATATTGTTTTGACTTTTGGCAGTAGAAATTCTATTTTAGTCTTTCTATATTGGAGTGTCAAATAAGAACTATAACAACAAGACATTAAAACTCACACGACTTGGTTCAAAATCGCTCATCGCGGCCACATCAGGGCATGCTCCTGGGAACAAAAGCTGTGCACTACAAGCTGTCCATGACAATGCGCACAAGAATACAGCTATTTCTCGGATCACGGACATCTAGACAACAAATAAATAAGCTAAGACCTATTATGAGAACTAATATTTTTCGGATATACTACACGACTTTATTGTTGTAAAAAACTACATACTCCCGAAGTTTCGGCTACTTTTCAGCAACCGTCACGGTTATCCGAAAAATATTAACTTATATTATTATTCATTTAAATAAGCTACGATCATGCTTCATTTAAATAAGCTACGATCTATTGAGCAACTACTCAAGTTGGTTTTGACTTGAGAAATATATACTCCAGACAATATCATGCATACATATAGATTGTATGCTAATTTTATGTTAATACATTTAACAAAAATTAAAGGAAAAAAATAGTTTGCACGGAAACAAAAATTATTTTACAGTTTTTTTTTTTTGCGAAATCTTCGTTCAGGTGGAAACAGTGACTGCCATGACACACGAAATATTAGAAAAATATTTGCAATGTGATTATATATTCAAATAATATAGTGCCAGGCATAGGTGCCTAGGTTCCTTTAAATCAACATTGCCGTTCAGGCATTCCTTTTCCTCATAAAATACCTTACCTACATAATGATAAAATAAACGGCTTTAAAAAATCTCATCCTAATATTTATATTTCATAATAAAGCAATCATTTATTTTATTTATTAAGCCTGAGAATTTGATAATCTATATTTAATAGCAGTGTGAAGACTATTTCTTGGTATTTTAAGACAAAATCTAGAAAGCCGTAGTTCTGAAGGTCCAAAATTTCAACATGCAGTGGTCTACACATGCCTAACAAATAAAAGAGAGGCAATCAATTTCCTTAACGGTGTGCAATGGAATCTATATGTATGGGCCAGCTTACCAGAGGAACAGGGGTTAATGAATCTGACCAATTCTTACTTCTATGACCAAATAGGCTTATACATTATATATAATTTACACAGTTAATTAATTAAATATTTTTATTGCCAATGGTTTGGACTTTGGAGTCTGCAATGTCATCTAGAGTAATTGATTGAATTCAATATAAATTCTTTTATTAAGTATATTTTAAAATATGAGAAAACTAAATTCCCTATTATCAAACAAAAAATGATTGGAGACAGATAAATGACTATAAAATTGGTGCAAATAAATGTACGAGGTTTTAACAATCAAAATAGACACTATATGTTATATTTGATAAGTTTAATTTTCTCATGTTCATTAAACACGCTCAAACCACACCGAACGGCTAAAGCTCTTCTCTTTCTTATCTTATGTTAGTAATATCTATATTATTAAATACCTATAAAAGTTGAAGTTTTTAAAACTTACCTTTTATTTTCAACCCAAAACGATTTTTTTAACCAAACTAAGTAGCCAAGTAAGCCGGGATCGTTCACTGAAAGACTAGCACATAATATCTTTGAACAGAATTTAAATACTAGTTGATAAATGATAATTTTTAAATTCTTTGAATTTCAGTTTTGTAACAGAACTATTTCTTAATCAAATACCCAACCTTTAAAAAATAAGGCTGGGCTATGTACATCAGATACAAAGGAGTATTAGTTGAATAATAGTTTAAAATTATCTATATTATTTTCAACGTAATATTTGCCAAGTAAACAATTAACAAACCGATGAAGTGGTTATTCGCTACGAGATATTGCCTTGGCTTTATCTTCCTTACAATAAATAACTTTAAAAAAATATGTATATTTTTGAAATTTGTTTCAAAATCGATGAATATTCAAGTAACTTGTTACATAATTAATTATTATTTTAAGTTTCATAAGGTACGTTGATACTATGTGACAAAACCATACATATGTCTGTCTGTATTTGCGAATTTTAAAGCGCTTTTTGTTAATAGAGCTTGCGGTTCCTTTGGAAACCAACAGACTCAAAGACCATGCTATCAAGGTCAATAATTATTACCAGCACACTAACGACCTCACTAAGAATAAAAGAATAAGTTCGTCCTGTACTCGGTAGAAGTGGAAGCGAGAGGTATAACAACCAAATCTTTCTACAACCTTTTAAAATACTTGGGGCTGTCCAGAATTACGTCAACTCGCCCTTAGAACATATTTCCAAGGCAACTCTAGTAGGTTCGTTTCAAATTTGGTGAGATAAAGAGGAGAGCGTTTAATGTACATAAGATGCCCTTTAAATCTGCACCTGGACCCCAGTCCCAGGCACTGTTGAAGCTCCTCTCTCTACGTCGCAATAGACCCGGGACCCACATTGAATCCTTGGAATGCTGAGAAGTTTCGTCTCATAAATGGAAACCTATTGAAGCTCCGTATACAGGGTGACTGGTGAATTACTATCAATATTTAAGGAGAATACTCGGTACATGATTCTTATTCGAATTATGTAAAAAAAATAGGTACTTAATTTTTAACCAAATTTCCGTATAAATAAATAAAGTGTGGACACGTTCCAAGTGTTCCAAGTGTGGACGCGTGCGGCAGCGTGCTGATACAACACCACGCCGCCGCACGTGTGTGTGTGTGCGTGAGTGCATACCTAATCTGTAGGGTGTTCACACGATACGTAATTAAATAAATAACTTTTGGTTAACTTTACTTAGAAGTTTATTAATATTTATGTTATATTAATTTTTATTTTGTCATATATGATCGTCAAATATCACGTCCTCAAGTATCGATAGTAATTCACCAGTCACCCTGTATAGTGACGATGTAAACTTATGCTAAGCATTCCATACAAACAGTAAGTTTTGTAATTTATGTCCTCGTCTAAGCGTACTATTTCTATTACTTATTCAACTAAACTATTGACTTCGTGTCTTACTTTAAATCACAAAGTGTGATGTTCAAATAGATGTCAAAATTATAATAACAATAAGTCAGTCACCATTGTGTGATAATTACTCGCTTCAATTAACGTCCTGTATCTTTTGTCTGCTTAGGTGTTACGTGCGTAAATAATTTTGTATGATCTAAATATAGTAAACAGATTAATGAACTTTTGAAGCATTAACTATTTATATTTGTTACAATATATGTAATGTTTCGTTACATACAATTCAATTAAGAGCAATAAATAATAGTAATCTCGTAATATTAGGTATATTACAAATGAGAACATTTGTATGTTAGTCTATTTTTATAACGCAACTATTAAACCCATTAAGCAAATGTAGTCGTATTTTATACAACATTACGTAATAAACTCAATAGTGGGAGAGTATCTATACACTAATATTATAAAGCTGCAGAGTTTGTTTGTTTGTTTGTTTGTTTGATAGCGCTAATCTCCGAAACTACTAGTTCGAATTGAATAATTCTTTTTGTGTTGGATAGTCCAGTTATCGAGGAAGGCTGTAGGCTATATAACATCACGCTACGACCAATAGGAGCAAAGATATAGTGATAAATGTGTAAAAAACGGGAGAAATTATTTCATCTTTGAAGCCTTCCGTTGCGTGCGCCGTGAAAACGGTTCAAGATACACAAAAAATATGTATAAAAGAATAATAGCTCTTTTAATGATCTAAAAAACAGTCCGCGACAGTATATGTCTATCTTTTAAGATTAACTCACAAAAACCGTTTTTATGGTACCTAATTTGGTCGAAATAATTTGTTTAAGTTGTATCAACATAATAATATTAATCTTTATTCAAATAAACAAATAAATATGTTGTTGGTTAAGAGGACTTCATTGTGAATTAAAAAAAACATAGGTTTAATCCTGAAAACTCTACGGGAACTCGACCATTCCGAAAACCCCGCAAGAACGGGAACTATGTGGGAAGAACCAAAAATTTGCCGGAAGTCACTACTCCACGCGGACGGAGTCGCGGCAATAGCTAGTTTAAAATAAATTGTAAGGCTACTCTGCTATTAGCGATGTTGTGAATTAATTATTCTTGTTATTATAAATACGTTCTGCATTATAGTTTTCTTTGATTAATAAATTACAAAGTAAATGAGTATTTCCAAATTTTACTTAAGGTACTTATTTTTGTAACTACTTAATTATGTCATGACACTCGACAGGAGTGGGAAAAATACAGCAAATCAACATCTAAGTAGATTATAATACGATGATAAAAAATATATTTATAATTTCATAGTTTACCAAAAGGAGATCGGTTTATTTCGTCATTGCACGTGATTGTATTAACGTAGGTAAGAATGGAAAAACGCTGCTCAAATAGTGTGACGCTGCTCAACTTATTTTCTGGGTACAAATAATAGTAAATGTATTAATTTTTTGATGAGAATATCTTCTTTACCTAATCCTTCTAGTTATTACCTATCAGATTATAGTCTGAGGTATTGTATTTTATTTTCAAGTAATTATAATGTTTCACTAGATCCGTTTCTTATTCTCAGTGAGAAAGATATTAAATCAAAAGGCGAATAGTAAATTACCATTAAAATAATCTGTTACTTTAATTCAGTGAACATTTGCTATAACTCATATACAATATAGAAATGTTTTATTCAATTAAGATTTTTGTAAACAAAAAAATAAACGAACTCAAAAAACCTGATCTAAGAAGGAGTTACAAGTTATTTTATGAAAGATTTTATTTTCAAAAATAAGCCTCTTTAGAATAAGAATCTTCTATCAGATGTATGTAAGACAGTGGTGGCCTAGTGGTTAAAGGGCCCGCCTCTCGAACAAGAGGGCGCAGCTTCGATCCTGGCAAGTACCAATATGATTTTTCCGAGTCATATGTACTTTCTACGCGTATTTAGACACCACTGACAGACGGTGAAGGAATACATCGTGAAGAAACCTGGACTTATAATTTCACAATTATAAGTTTGAAATCACCAACCCGTCTTGAGCAAGCGTGGTGATTAATGCTCAAACCTTCTCTATGTAAGAAAGAGGCCTTTGCTCAGCAGTGAGCTCTGATAGGCTGATGATGATCAGATGTATCATGGGCCTATTGCTTGGATACAAATATTATCTTATCCATATTCTTATTGCGGGAAATATAAGAGTAAAATGTAACTCCGGTCACAAATAACTCAATTATATGTTTCTTATAAAGTTTC